GAAAACAAGTTTATCAAATGACATAAAAATTAATTCCAGTCGTACTGCCTATTTTTCCATTTAGATATATTATCTTATTCTAGTTTATACAATTCAAAGGAAAATAACTAACGTTTTACATATGAAGTGCCATGGAACAGTCCTTTTTATGTCTACCTATACTGTAAGTTAAATTAGTGCATGAATATAAGATGTCTGATATGATATTTATCCAGAGTTTTAATTTATTATGTTAATATGAAAAATAGATGTTTATGTAAAATGTAAGTTAAACTAGTATACGAATATTCATGAAGTATGCTACCAAGTATTCAAACTGTAAAATATAAGATACTAATTTTATGCATTAAAGCTGTTTTGTTTATTATTGTTTTATTTGTTTAAGCACAAAGCTACATATTGGGCTATCTGTGCTGTGCCCATCAAGATGATCAAAACCTGGTTTTTAGTTTTATAAGTCTCCGACTTCCTGCTGAACCAGTGGGGAGGTGTTTATTAATTGTTATTGAAGTGAAACTATAACGCTGCTTCTAATGATAACGCAGAAATTAATAACGTGTTAAAAACGATAGTAGTCATTTTGAATAACATGGCACAACGTGACATTCAACAACAAGCTAACGAGCGAACCACATAACAAAACTTCTACTCCCACACCACAGAACTTCTCTGTGTCAGTGGATACCCTCCCGTGCCTTTTGATTCCTCTCACCGATAACCCCCTCACTGAGGCTGCTCTTTTCTGCAGAGGTTGGGAGCCCTAACAACTAGGGTTGTTTCAACGAATCACAATTACAAATGTGCATCTCTTACCTGAAACACACGGGAAGACTTCCAAGAACTCTTTCTTCAACAACCGTAACTGGTCTCGGATTTGCATCTCAATGGGGTATTCTAACCACCAAAACATATAGGCTCCTAACATTAAAAAACTTAGGTACAGCACAGTTGTTCCAAAAAGCAAGAAATTACTTCTCCTGACCCAGCAACATTGCTTCAAGTGAGGAGCTGTTATCTGCAGTAGAGGCTGATTTTCACTGCCCTTTTCCATAACTTCTCTGACAATGTAAAAGACGAGCAATATATTTGTGTTCAAACAGTCTTTCTCTTTTACATGTGCTTCCTCATTTTAAGTCTCGAAGTATTGGCGAGGCTCTAACATAACAAAAGGCTCGTCTATCTAGTTTTACGTAGCTATCTTGGAGATGTAAGAGAGCACGTGACGTTGTGCTCCCACCCACCTAGAGTGTCATATCGTATGTTTAGAGCTAAATAAGACTGGTCTAATTCGTGTTTTTTAAATAAAGTTTAAACCTTTTATTGGTATTTAGACTGTCGTAAATTTATATTGATATATACTTTGTATACTCCAATTAATAATGCATACGTCATCAATTAACAGCTCTGCACACTAATTCGATGCTTACCTAACGTAGTACATAGTACATTTGATAAATGTTATCACACATTACAAGAGACAGACTATTTTAACTAGAATTTTCTTCGTAAGTCTGTTTTTTCATTGGAAGATATATTACCATGAAAAATATATTTCTGAAGTTACAACTAGTAAGGACTTACCAAATTGGCTTAAACATTGTCCAGTAGATAGCGTGCCGGAATTTGGATCTCATATTCCATGGCTCGTGTCCCGTTACCGCCATAAAATAAGTCGCGCTCTGCACTTTATAGTCGTGGATATATATTATCAAATTGACGGTCAAATTCCACTAATCAGCTTGACAAGAGTACATAAAGATTTTTGCGGTGAGTGGTATTGATTAGCTGCCTTCTCTCTCACTAGCCTATCACTTGAAAATTAGGGACAGCTAACGCAAATATCCCTCGAGTATCTTTGCGAGTAAATTAACCACACGAATTTGTCATATATCTTATTCATCTTTGCGAAAGTAAAGTTGTCCAATAACATTTTGCGCTTATGGTTTATTTTACGATTTTACAAATTGAGTTATGAAGTTTATGTTAGATATTAAAACTCATGTCAGGAAAATCTAGAATTGTAACATCAGTTGTCATTAGATTAGTTAGAGATGGATGTTGGGGAACGTCACCCAATAGATGACATTGATTTTATTATGAAGCGTGTTTTATATTACAATCAACAAAGTGATGTAAACCTGGACTCTAGTTCTAGTTCTAAAGCTGCAAATATACCACAAGTTGTCGGTAAGAAAAAAATAAGATCATTATACTTTTAAGTAGATTCAACCTTCATTTAAAGTTGACGATAAAATGAAATTAACGAAGAAAAGAATTATTAAAATGTATTATTTTTATTACTTTCCAAAGCCTTTAATCTCTATCATAAATATGGTATACTTTCATACAGTTTCGTAAAAACGAGGCACCGTATGAACAACTTTAGCGGCTTATCAAAGCGGTTGATGACATCATTTCGTATCCTGCACGTGAGAGATAATTTCAAGCTTATCGAGATAACGGTAAAAGCTAGTGACGCTAGTGTTATTACTTTGTAGACAGTTATATTTCCCTCACCTATTATTTTGCAAATTCAGCTAAGCAAGAACCCCAAGCAACAACTCCTTCCACGTTCCGACCAGCCAATTGTTTTTTTTCCTCTAATTTTTATTAATAGCTCCATAGTTGATTCAATGTAAGATATACATGAACACCATGTTATCTTACGCACAGTCTTTTTTGTTCCATTAAAAATATTTTAGTTTATACTTTATTCACCAAAATATTATATAGTTTGTTTGAAATTAAGCACAAAGCTACACAATGGGATATCTGTGCTCTGTCCATCACAGTTTCTGGCATACCGAAGACATACCGCTGTGCCGCTGGGAGCATGCGCGCTGGAGTATCTAGAAGGATCGTGATTTAGCAGGCAACCTCACGAATGTCCCAACGTTTGCTAGACGCCCTCTTTTTTTGAGTATATAAACCGAAGATAGATTGAAGAGATAATTGAGTCAAGCGAGCAGTAGGCACTGTATGTAAAATGTGTGAATCGCTGTGATTTATAGCGTGTGTTATAAGGTTGTTAAGTTTAAAGTGACTGTGGAAAGTCTGTGTATTACACAGTTGTATCGAGAAAGAATAAACTAATTTTAATTAAGAAAGGACTTGTATCGCTGAAGTTTCTCGGAAAGAATTTCTACGGGAAAGTAACAAACAAGCAGATATGCAACAAATTGGTGTCAGAGAGTGGGACAGAAAAAACAAAGATAAGAAGATGGAAAAGATAAGTGGCAAATCAAACTACAGCTTAGCAAATTTGATGGCAACAATAAAAGAACAGCAAAAGAAACAAGAAGAAAGAGAAAAGAAACAAGAAAATCGAGAAAAAACAAGAAGAACGAGAAAAGAAACAAGAAGAGAGATTACAGCAGTTGTTGGAGGAAAAAGAAAAGAAACAATAAGAGAAATTACAACAGTTGTTGGAGGATAAAGAAAAGAAACAAAACAAACGAGAAAATAAACAAGAAGAGAGACTACAGAAGTGCTTGGAGGAGAAAGAAAATAAACAAGAGAGACTACAGCAGTGGCAACTAGAACAAGAAAGGAAACAGAAAGAAAGTCTTCAATAGTTGCGGGAAAGTAAGCAGCAACTAGAGGAAAGTCAACAACAGTGACAAGAAGTACAAATGGAAAATATTAGTAAATTTCAAAGTGAATTAAATACATTAAAAGATAATTTACTGTCTTTTACACAAGGATAGTATATTAGCCATCGACCTAATCAGCCTCAGACAATGGGAAGCCTCTTCCAGACCCCACAGCTAAACCCTAATGCAAACATCTTCAGTCCTGTCAGAAGTCACATTCCAGACATGAGTGTCAGCAATAGGGGTGATCTAGCACGAGGGACCACAGGAATTCGATGAGAAGGCACCGCGGGAAGCATATAGAGCACAATTTGAGTACCTGGCAGAAATTAACGGATGGACAGAGGAGCAGAAAGCAGTGTACCTGGCAATGATCCTGAAAGGGACAACCACTAGAAATACTTGGACAGTTGTCAGCAGACGACAGGCACAACTATAAAGCACTGGTAGCTGCTCTAGAACTCAGCTATGGAACTCAAAATCAGTCCGAAGTCTCCAGGACTAGGTTTAAAGCTAGAGTCCAGGATTTGGCACAGGATTTGGAAAGTATGGCACACAAGGCCTACGCAACTGTACCACCCGATGTCTTCAAGCTGTTGCTGAGGGATCAATTTGTAGATGCCTTGGACAGTTCACAACTGAAGATACAAGTAAAGCAAGCACACCCCTCTACTATGCAGGATGCAATGGCCAGAGCTCTCGAATTTGAATCCTACGTTAAGTCCAGCACAGAGGTACCAAGGTTGGTACAGTCAACAGGATTCAATGCCAGAAAAGGGCAGCTTTCAGAGAGGTTTATGGACTTTGCTGGCACTGTAACAAACCTGGGCACAAGAGAGCTCAATGCTGACAACTTCAACACAGGGAAGATTCCATGGCAGGAAAGGCTGCTACCCAGAAAGGTTGTTGGAA